TTCTGGTGGTCTCATCGGACTGGCATAGACGCTTTGAACTCTGTCCCTTAGAACTGCATACTCTTTTCCTTTCCGTCTGCTGTTGTGACCGGATGAATGCTTGCATTGAAGTAGCAGACCTATGCTCAGCTGTTTCATACACGCAAAAGCATTGTGGGCATGTTATAGTTCGTGTTCAAGTATTTAAGTTGCGTCCTGTGCTGGAATTCAACCAAGTAACTGCATTATTGTCATCTGTAGGCTTATTTGTCAGGATTTTGTTTGGTACACATACAAAGTGTGCCTTCAGCGCATATTCAGTGCACATGCAAACTGCAAGTCTGAACACGTGCCTTATCGATTTGTTGTGGCCAGCTGCTGTTCGGCCCATTATAGGGTCTTCGGTTCGTTCAGTATGTGATTTCTAGCCTAAGTCCAATGTTCAGGGTCGACTTTGTAAAGTGGTTGCTAATTCCAGGCAGCAACGTGAACGTGGAGCGAGTCTTACTTATGGAGGAACCCCTAGAAACTTTAGTGTCCAAATCTGCGTAAAAACTTCTGAATGCGTAACAGGGGAATTTGGAGGCGTCCGCAAGCTCATATACGCGCTTTTATCGCAAGGGGCAGCCATCCTTCCTCTCCCCACTCTGACCTTCAAATATGGGATTGCTGTACAGTGCTTCACTTATACGCTCCCGCATTCTGGTTCACCCATCTTGCCGCTCATTGAGGCTGCAATAGAGACGTGCACTTGAAATGTACTTGAGAGTGGGGAAATTACATAACAGGGAACTCAGTCTTCTTTTTAGCACGAACTGTTTTATAATGACTGTATCTGAATTTATACGCATTGACTTGTCTGTCACTACGCCACCTGTCCTAAGCGTGCGTAGTACCTCCTACACGGGCCGCGTGTTAATGCGTTGGGCCAACGGGGGATTGGCTCAGGCGTGGCAGGGGTTATTTGGGTCGCGCTTCTATTACAGATGCTGACCATAGGGATAAGGGGCTTGGTGGCATTCTAAGCTGGCATGTTTTTCTTCGAAGTGGTAGTCGGGATTATTCGGATAGTTGTTTTGGCTAGACGTGAAGGTGGACAACGATACGTCGAGTCGTCTTTGCTACCTTTTTCGTCGTAATTAGGGCGGAGAGTACGTCTAAAATGGGACTGTTGTCGAATTGTATTCTAGCTGACAACTGGAAAACTCCACAATGACAGGATACCTGGCGTTAACTTACCACTGCTATTCTGGAGTTATTCTCCCGTCGTTTTCCGAGGGGAAGTATGCTTATGTTCGGCGGAAGTCGTGATTGCAAGATCCTGTCCTTATTTCTAACCAGAAGTCCCACATTCTTTTCTTCTTCGACAACACCGGTCTCCAATTTTCTGGCCTTCTATCCCGTCTACGTATATTATTCACACGAAAACAAGTCCCATGTTTACCCGTCGGCTTTAGACCTACGTCCGAGGGGAAACTCAGCTTCCAGAGGGATGCTAAACACGTGCCAGTTGGCGGTTGAAGGTGCTAGTTTTCCAGAAACTGTGTCAAGTATCCGCTGCACCAACTCATCCTAAACAGAATTAGGGCCAGTTAATTGCCATTGGCTATTCGCCCCCCACAGTTCAGTCAGGACAATATAGGCATCTGATTGGGGTGACCCATGCGTAGATCTCAACCGAAATCGCGATCTACTGATCGTCCTTCATCAGGTGGGTGTGTCGTGACGAGCAACCAAAGCTGGATAAAGTTTATTAGCAAACACAGAGAAGCGACTAAAATTATCAATAATTTCCTTACTTCTACCACGACAGATCCGAGGCTTGCTCCAAAATCCAAGTTCCTCACTGAGCTTACTCATGTATACATCGAGTCAAGTGGTTCACGTCTTGCTGGCTGCAATCAATACTATTCGATGTTACATGGGACTTTGGTTCACCGATTTCAAATTGGAGTTTAGTTTAGTTACCAACTCAATCCGGACTCAAATCTGCGATTTCTTCCTGCCTGGTGTTGTGGTGGGATTTTCGGAGTAAGATTTTTAAGTTACAAGCATCATTGCCGTCTCTCGTCTTTTATTGCTGCAAAACGTACCGTGATATCGACGCGAAATGTGCTCGCAAAAATACAGAGTTGATGCAAATTTTGCCCGAAAACTCTAAACCGGAAATGATAACGTTAACTCTGACATGCTGGTTTTTGGTGAGGCTTTTCTAGAAAGCTTAGCTCCGCGTAACGACCGGAAGTACTGTAAACATTTAGATATAGATATATGATGGCGGCTAATAAGTCAGAAATAGTAATTCCGGTCCCCCTTGTCTTTGTCGGTTCCGCGTTACTAACATCTATTAAAAGTCACTATGCTACTTCCTGCAGATACTCTTACGTGAACTGCGAGGTACAATAGGACCTGCATGTTCCGTACCCAAATCGCTGAGCCCCACGCTATAGTGCTAGATTATGTCTGAATGAATGAGGTTGTAAACGACTGAGTGGTCTCTAAAACGGACCACGTGGCAGCTGCGTTAAACCAACTCGGGGCACAATAAGCATTATTTGGGATGCCCACCCATAAAAAAC